GGGGGGGATACTACGCAGCCCATTTTTTAAAATTGTATTTATCTATTATTTATTTGTATATTTAGTGCTATCTTTGAACATAATCATAATTAATTTTGATTTTATCTTTTATTAGTTTTCTTGATATTTCAGTGTGATTTCGATAAAAAATAATTTCGATATAAACAGAATCAAATATCGGCATAATGTAAGAGCATAGTCAAATATTTTGCCCGCACTGAAGGGGCCCCTCAAGCGATCGTATGTTTGCATATTGGACAAGTTTGACCTCAGCAATATCAGTGACGTGATTGTGGACAGAGATTGGCTAATACAGTGAATGCAAGAATTGTTTGACCTAGTTAGTATGCAGGGCCCCCAGCTCTGACCCAGCCAACGGTCAATGCACTGCACATGGTACCTGCTCAGAATCAGCTCACAAACCACAACATGCATAGTTGGGTCATGGAAGGAAATGTCATTGACGCACGGTGCACAACAGCAGCAAACACTCGCGTGTGGGAACCATCTGAATTCCAGCTGTGTAGCATCAACATGCACACGACATGACACCAAACCACGCTAATCGGCCTGTGCAAGCAGGGAAGCAGTCGTAGATGATCAGCTTCCACAAACTGCTCACAGCAGATGGCACAGGCCTCTAGTCACGACACATAGCTGCCTTCTTGCTGCAGCCTGTCTGCTGCAACACCAACGCTTCAGCGATCAGCCTCTGCCGGCCCCTCGGCTGGAGAAAACGAGATGATGGCTGTCGAGGCGGAGTTGGCCTTGGTAGACCACAGGGACGAGGCCACGAAAGCTAGGGCAAAAAAGGAAAGAGTCAATACAGCTCGGTCGTCATTATAATGTGCATGCTCGGCAAAGCGCATGCAAGCACATATGTATTGCCATGAAAATTTGAGAGTGCTCTTCTGCTTTACATTGGCCCACATACAGATACACCCTGTTCATACCGTGGTACCTTGACCGACCTCATTGACTTCCGGAAGCATGCATAAGCAATAACTCGATCATCTACGAGCAGCTTCGAACTGTCCTGGTAGCAGCTTAACTAACTACTGAGGCAGCAGGCTTGAAACCTGCTACATAGACACACTCGGCCACACAAAGACAAAATGCCATGTTGCGCCAACAGGTGGACCTTAAGTTGGGGGGAGAAGCGGGGACCAAAGGAGGGAGAGGGACCTGCCCTCCTGTCCTTGTACAATGTTGCTTTGGGGGGGGGCCGCCCCTTGGTGGCTCTGAATGAATCATTTGCATGGTGGCGCGGGGGGCGGCCCACCCCCCTCCCGCAGTTTTAGCTGTTGAGAAAGGACCAGATAAGGTCCTGCACGCAATTTCACGTATGATGGTAAACGACAAGTCCCGCAAGCTCCACAAAGCTAGCTTTCGTGTGCACGCAAGTTCGGCCCGAAATGACCGGAAGCGCTTTCTGCACGTGCCTCGATGTGCCTGTAGATTATGCGAATTATATATACGTACATGGTGCAAAACGAATCCAAAATCTTGATCATAACTGTAGCACAAGCTTCCAGAACGGAATTTTTACATACAAGCGGGACCGCATACCGGTGTAATATTGCCTTGTTCTTTGGGGTTTTGAGGTGATAGGGATCTTCAATTCCTGGTCCACAGGTGGCACGGACGGGCACAGGCTTGTTACACTATGCACGCGGCTTGTGGTGCGCCTTTGGTTGCACGATGCTGCACGGATCCGTGTAAAGGTATGATCATCATGGTACCATACTGATGCATTCAGCTTATTTCGGAGTCCAAGATTCCACATCTGGCAGCACTGGTGGCTCTGGCGATGTCCTGAAAGTGGTTCGGCAGGTTGCTGGAATTGGAAAAATGACAGGACATGACAAAATTGACAAAGGGCAACACGCAAAGGCGCAGCACGCAAACGCCTCGGTGGAGATGGCCGGGGCCTGGGCGGTCGGGAGCCAGAACCTCCAAGGCGAGAGCGCACGAGTCCACGATTCCCCCCGAATGGTCAGAGCCAATTCCGCCTCCAGCGCCTCCCACCGTAGGGGTCGTGAGTGTCGTGGATGGGTGAGCTTGCCATTGCCTGCTCAGGACATGACGAAGGGTCCACAACAGCATATCGTGAACTGTCCCAGCCATCCGAGGCATCTAAGAGAATTGCGACTATTCATGGTCTGACAAAGAACTGATGTCGCCGCGCCTGCGTCGTGGTCTGCGGTCATCCTGGTTGTAGGTCTGCACATCAAGGCCCCAGAGTCGCGAATAGAAGCCGTCAGCGTCATCAGGCTCTCCTGCAGCTCCCGGCTCAGCGGCATCTCTCTCGTTGACACGGGAATTGATGCCGGGCTGTCGCCGAGATGCCGATCGTCGGGCTTGCACACGCTGCCTAGCTTCAGCACGAAAGTTCGGAGCGTTGGCCGAGAGATCATCCGGATCCTCACTGCCAGTTTCTGCGAGGCTGAGAGCGAGTGCTAGGGCTTGATCTACGCCGCCACGCTGAAATGCGGAATACCCTGCGTGCTCTGAGGCCGGAATCGGCAAAGAGACATCCGGCAGCAGTGCTGCGATGGGGTCTCCAAACTGCAGCTGGATCGCCAGAGCTTCGTCCCCGCTTGGAGCGGAGGGGGCTCCCCGCGACTCACCCGTCGTGCTCACTGGATGCAAGTCTCTGCGAGGTCGCCAAGCTGTCGAGGAAGCCGCGTCAAGTCTTCCTGGTCTCGGTAGGTGTACTGGCAGATCACCTGCCTGCTGCAAACTTGTAATCGTCTGGAGAAGTCTGGACAGGCAGCTGCCTGCACCTGAAAGTTGACCACCTGCTGCGCTGGAAAGCGCTTGGGTCGAGGTGACAGACAGCGGGCGAGCGGAGCAACGCTGAGGAAGTCTCCCGCATTGATCCCCTCCTAGCCCTCGGCGAAGAAGTTCAACCCCTCCCCATCCGGGAAGACACTTCAGAGGGCCAATCACCGTGGCATCACTACGGAGCCAGGTGCCGAGTTCACGATCCATCTCTTCGAAGATGTCGCTTTCTGTTGGTTGTCGTGTCGGTGTCGTCGTCTTCGTGACGTCTTCACATCCTGCGTCTCAAGGAATACCAAGCAAACGAATCCACTTCTTGGGATACCATCAGCTGAACAGGCCGTCTGCAGTGACAGCCATGCACACGTGCACGTTTCATCGCGTGCGGCCGGTGCAGCACCGCAGCACCACTAAAGATATACTAAGCCAGAGCAAGTGACTGAGACTAAGCACCCGGTCGAACCATCTCGGCTACGGCTATGGGCGAACTTCTCACCTTTCTGGGCAAAGGACCCTCACAACCACAAGTGTCAATTCATTTACCTGTTGCACCGTGCATCGAAGCATGCTAGACTTGTACAGAATGTGGACAAACGTTAAGACTGCATCCCAAAAGGCTGAAGCACAGGCGTCCTGCACTTGTTTTGTCAACCTAGGCCGACACCGCGGGTGGGTGATCCTACTGGCGGAGGTGGAGGTGCCACTGTGCTTGGCCTGGCACAAAGGACTGCGAAGATGGCATCGGATGCTGAGCAATTTGGAACGCGACACCCAACCATGCTGGGAGGGCCACGACAGTGGCTGCTCCGACTGTAGCACCTGAATATCATGTTGAAGCTCGAGTATGAGCTTCCATATATGGTGAAATCTTGAAGGCCTGTGACGTGTACTGCTGCTGGTGCGGCGGCATCGAGAACAGAGCCTTTCGAGGTGCCTCACCAATCCCAGCAATCTTTTGAGACCATGCTGACACAAGCTTCCGACAAAAGCCAGGCACCGCACTGTCCCCGTAGCTTTGGGTCTGAGCGACGCGAACCAAGGAGTTCACTCAGCGCTAGTCTTATTCACGTCGCTGTTCTGGGCTGGCGCACGGCAATGGCAACCCTTGTCGGCGAGGGCGCGGACGAGCCCAGCGAGCACCGCTGGCCTGAAATAGTGATGGTTCCTTGTCATGGCTGCTACCGCCTTGCTCGGACCACCCTGGACCTCTGGGTCACCAGGATCTCCTACGTAGTGTGCCTCGAAATACGGCATTTCTGCAGCCTGTTGAGTCTGTTGTCAATGGGCTTCCGGCTGGCGCTGTCAGTGAGCTTGCAAGGATGCTATTCACCGAGCTGACCGAGGACGCCAGAGAGGTAAGCCTTCAGATGTGACACTCCGCCACACGTGAGTCAGCTCATGCTCTCAAGGCCAGCACGTGTGCGTAAGGTCAGGCATCGCCTTCTGTCCCCACTGCAAAAGGGTCCAGGACAACTCAACACAGCGGTATTGTGGCATCTACAACTGCTGGCCTTGGTTGCCCTGGAGCTACGCTCCTGAGTAACAAGGAAACCTGCGCCACGTGATGCGGCGTGACCCCCGATGGCGTGGAATCACTGGGCATCACCAAATAATTGTTTCTGTGAGAAATTTGTGAGAAAGCTGTGAGCGGGTTCTTTGCGAAATTTCTGACATATCTGCACGCACGAACAGCTGTGAGCCGGCTACTTTCTTCACACCGTTCGTCCGCTTCAGGTTGGAGTCGACAGCAGAGGTGGAGCTGATGCTCTTCGAGGCCACCTCGAAAGAAGCTCCACCCGCCGTCTGAGTAAACGGACGTCACGGGTGGGCGAGGAGGGCTAAATCGAAACTGAGAGCCCGATGCTGAGGCATTCGTGGCTCTCAGACATGTCACTGATCACCTTCGGTGACACCAGACATATCTGCACGCACGAACAGCTGTGAGCCGGCTACTTTCTTCACACCGTTCGTCCGCTTCAGGTTG